CATAAACATATAACCCATGAAAAAAACAGAAAAACGATTAAAACGAAAGGGTAACTCAGTCCTACACAATTACCGTTACGAAGTTCAACATTTACCTAATAAGGTCAGAAAAGTGTGGGTTACGCTAGTTGCTTTTAAAAAAATTAAACCCTAAATTGTACAGAATGGACTTAAGTCTTAGACAAATAGAGTGAAACGGAAATACTCATTTCAGAACGTCAGGTTTATCAAAACGAGACTGAGGAGGCCTATATTTAATGGGTAAAAACATTCAATGCAAATTCGATTAGAAGAAGTAAGAAGTAGGAAGAAAGAGATCGACCAGACGTAATTTGATGCGATAATATTGAAAGGGCATTAAATAAAAAGGAGAAAACGATTGAAAACATTAACATTGGTCAATAATAGAGAGACAAAAGAGAAAAATAATAAAATGCAAAGAATACAGCCTCGAATTATGTTCCACTATATGGTGGAGGGGTGATTTGAGGGGCTTTTTATAATACCCATACCATCAGGTCATATTTTAACTTTAATACCAGCTACTATCAGCAGAAACTCGCTTATAGTTAAACCACAAATATATTCGATATGTATAATTCAAGTTTCAATCGTTAGAAAGTCAAAATTAAGATTAGTAACCCTGTTGAGCTGTAGATATTCACGCCTTGGGTTGAGATTAGTTTCAACCTCAAGACCAGTTACTACTAACAAAAATTTGCTAATAGTTGAACCACAAATAGTAGATATGGGTTCAGTTTTAATGATTGAAAAATAATTGCACCATTGCACTGCAGGCAGAATTTTTATTGTTCCCTTTTTAGTACATTCAGTACCTTCTTTAATATGCACGGCATTCATGCAGATTTTATAATGTTACAATCCTAGGCATGCTTTTGTCGCTAGCAAATAGATTTAGAGCGACCTGAATTACCCAAAATATGAACAAAAGCTCATAAACATATAACCAATGTAAAAACAGAAAAACGATTAAAACGAAAGGGTAACAGAGCTCTATACAGTTACTGTTACGAAGTTCAAGATTTACCTAACAAGGCCAGAAGAGGGAGAGTTACGCTAGTTGCCATCAACAAAATGAAACCCTAAATTGTACAAAAAGGTACTTAAGTCTTAGACAAAAAAAAGTGGGACGGAAATACTCATTTCAGAACGTCAGGTTTATCAAAACGAGACTGAGGAGGCCTATGTTTACTGAGCAAAAACATTCAATGCAAATTCGACTAGAAGAAGTACGAAGTAGGAAGAAAGAGATCGACCAGACGTAATTTGATACGATAATATTGAAAAGGCATTAAATAAAAAGGAGAAAACGATTGAAAACATTAACATTGGTCAATAATAGAGACAAAAGAGAAAAATAATAAAATGCAAAGAATACAGCCTCGAACTATGTTCCACTATATGGTGGAGGGGTGATTTTAGGGACCTTTTATAATACCCACGGCATCAAGTGGTATTTTAACCTCAATACCACCTACTATCAGCAGAAACTCGCTAATAGTTAAACCATAAATATATTAGATGTGTATAATTCGAGTTTTAATCGTTAGAAAGTCAAAATTAAGATTAGTAACCCTGTTGAGCTGTAGATATTCACGCCTTGGGTTGAGATTAGTTTCAACCCCAAGACCACTACTAACAGAAATCTTCCAATAGTTGAACCACAAATAGCAGATATGGGTTCAGTTTTAGTTATTGTAAAATAATTGTAATTTTTATTGTTCACTTTTTAGTACATTCAGCACTTTCTTTAATATGCATGGTATTCATGTAGATTTTGTCATGTTACAAATCTAGGCATGCTTTTGTCGCTTGCAGGTAGATTTAGAGCAACCTGAATTACTCAAAATATGAACAAAAGCTCATAAACATATAACCCACAAGAAACAGAAAAACGATTTAGGGTAACAGGGAGGGTTACGCTAGTTGCTATTAACAAAATGAAGCCCTAAATTATACAGAAAGGTACTGTAGTCTTAGATGAAACGAGTGAGACGGAAGTACTCATTTCAGAACGTTAGGTTTATCAAAACGAGACTAAGAGACCTATGTTCAATGAGCAAGAACATTGAAAGCAAATTCGATTATAAGAGGTAAGAAGTAGATAGAAAGAGATCGACCAGAGATAATTTGATGCGATAAAATTGAAAAGACATTAAATAAAAAGGAGAAAACGAGTGAAAAAATTAACATTGGTTAATAATAGACAAAAAAAAAAATAATGAAATGCAAAGAATACAATCTCGAACTGTTCCATTTCATGGTGGAAGGTCAATTATGATATCCTTACCAACAGGTCGTATTTTTACCTCAAAACCAGCTACAATCAGCACAAACTCACTAATAGTTAAATCACAAATATATGAGATATGTATAATTCGAGTTTCAATCGTTAAAAAGTCAAAATTAAGGTTAGTAACTCGGTTGGGCTGTGGATATTCAGGCCTTGGGTTGAGACTAGTTTCAACCCCAAGACCAGTTACTACTAAGAGAAATCTTCCAATAGTTGAATCACAAATAGCAGATATGGGTTCAGTTTTAGTTAGTTTTAGTAAAATAATTGTACCATTGCACTGCACAAATAGATAGTTTTTGCGTTTTAATTGTGGCAAAATTTTTGTACAGTAGCATTCTACAATCATTGCTGTTCCTTTTTTTGTTAGATGCCTCAGATAATAACTCGGTGATCTGCTCAATTTCTATATATTGCTATATAGACAATATCATAATGAACTTTTTGGAGAAAAATTAGAATCAGTAACTCAGTTGGGTACTAAATATTCAGGTCTTGGGTTAAGAATAGTTTTAACCTCAAGACCAGCTAGTACACAATATTAAAAGCATATATGTAGCAAAAGGCAGAAGAGAATCAACGAAGTCCATTTCTCCCTTCCAGTAGTAGGTATTTAGTTGCTCTATTAGTAAAAATTGCATTTTCTCTCGAAGAAGTACTGAATGAACAGATATTTTTCGATTAGCGTAACTTCTCTTAGGCGGTGTAGACTGTAGAGTGTAGAATATAGGAACTGAAACAATAAATAAATATAAATTAAAGAAAACAAATGCAAAGTTAAGAAGATATAAGCTACCTTTGCCGTAAAAAAAATCTTTCTTGAGTACGTGTATAATAAGCACTATTATAATTTTACAACATCAATTTTAACACTTTTTTATTAACGAGGCACTTACAAATATTATTTGCAATAATTACAAAAAGTATACACTTTCCTAATTAACTAGAGAGATCAGGAAAATAGTGAACGGTTATTATATAATTTAATATAACCAAATTAATCCGAATTATACACGAATAAAAAAATATACACGGACAATCTACGACACAACACATTGATGCATCGCCGCACTGGTTATACATTTTGAGTTTTGAACGTCACAGAATTGCGATAGCTACTGCACGAAGCACTAATGACGCGTAAAAATTTGCGCAGGTGAATCACATTGGAGATCTGCGACACTTCGCGAGATTTGTTTCGTAATTTAACCAATCGCGTAGCTACCTTTAATCCCCGCCCGGCAAAATGAAAATTATGTGGATTTTGCTTCGTGAAAGTTCCATCGCCTGATCACTACTCTAAGTAAAATCGCACACATTGAAACAGAGCAATTGAAATGGAAAAAAGGACAAATCTGACTACACCAACAAGAGTTAAAAATAGTACATCTAAGTAAATTAATTTACCTAATGGATGAATTGCGTGAATGTCTTGGATCAAGTAATCCAAAGCAATTTTATAGTAATTCATTTATGAATTGCTCTTAATATTATTCTTTTAGTGTTATAAATTAAATGTAGATTACGTTGAATTAAGAAAGTCAATAGTTAAGTACAGAATACAGCTACATGAATTACCGAAATTCACATTGAAACGATTCCTATGAGGAAATATTTTTCATGTTAAAGAAATAATTATCAAATAAATATTAGTCTATAGACGATTTACTTTAGCTAAGAGAACATATTTCTTTAAATTATATATTTTTTTTCTGTTCTACTAAATACATATGTAATCTAATATGATTTAAAACAATTGAGTCAATTACTGTTTTCCTTATATTCCATCAAACAATTGCTTGACAATATTGCCAGGCTTTACCTGGATTAAGCAATTTTTTCTAGAAAATAGTATTTTTTTTCTCTTAAATTATAATTTGTAGAAAATGTTTCTAGTAAATAATACCAACATGCTATGACTATTTTATAAAATTTAAAAGATCAGAACAGAAACTAACTTACAAAATAGAATACGGCTAATATGAATAATATATGTAAATGTACCTACTAACTACGTAATGTTATTTTGCACTATTGATTAATTTTTAATTTACCAGTGATTAGAGAGCTTGATCTAATCCAAAAAAATATATAATAGCATTTCTTATTGTAAGAGTTTATATAATCGATTTAATTTTCAGTACATTCAATCTTGAGTAAATTGGACCGGTGTAATTATTTTGTTTTCATTATTGTATTCACATGTGATAATCATGCCTTTATATGTTTAATTAAATGTATAATGATTATAAACGCGATAACATATTAAAACAAAAAACGACTAAATCTCTATCAAAAAAGAAATAAGACGTAATGTAGCATAACACAAGAAGCGTTACACAGAGCAGCTAATTAAAATATCATCCAGATATTTTCATAATTGTACATATGTATATGAAGATTCACATATTATGGTAACATAAATAACAATAAAATATATTCCAGAAGTAAATCTCAGAAGTACAACGACAAGAATCAATTTTAAATTTTCCTTTTCCTATTATATTGAGCAATATGGGTGTATCACACTGTTTTGCAATTTAAATTGATTAAACTATTTTATTCGTTTATTGTCTTCCTATTTCTTTGCAGCATTGTCAAACTCAAAATCAACTTTTCTTTGAAGGTTAGTGACTTTTTGAAGTACTATAAATACATTTGGTTTTGAACAAAATAATCATTCCAGTTTCCAGTGGCTAACATTGATAAACAAAAATGAACTCAATAGTAAGTTGTTTCTTTTTTGATTAGGATTATTTTTTAAAAGATATTATGTATACGTAAACAGATTGCCATTTTCTTCTGCGTTGCTATTGCAACTGCTTCGTGCTCCGTTTTTGGGTATGCCGGACCTTTGGATGGAGGTGCAGTATTGAAAGGACCATCTGCTGGAGCTACTGTCGTTGGGCCATCTGGAACAATTTCTGCTGCTGCGGACTCTGGTGCTGCTGGAGTTGCTCCAAGTTTTGTCGGGGCTGGTCCAGGTGATTATCCCTGTTACTCCTATTTATTCACTGATAATTTTCAAAAATCAGGGAACTAAAGTAAGGTCTATTGATTAGATATTAACCACTAAAGTAAAGTATTGTTCACCCTCTTTTCTTGAAATCATCAGGATTTGCATTACATTGATATTTATGATAATTTTTTTTGCTGATAAGCATGTGACTCCTAACCGTAATAAGGTTTTATATACTATTGTTTTTTTTTCAGTTGTTGCCCCCGTTCCAGCCGTTGTTCCACCTCCACCTGTAGCACCTGCAGGTCCTGTAGTTGTTGAAGCTAGAGCGGCTCCTTGGGCTGCCCCAGGAGTATGGGGTGCAGTTCCATGGGCACCCGCTGTGAGGGGTATTTGGTAAAAACTTAACAAAGTGTAATACCACATACTACAACATGTAAATTAAAAAATGGGAGTGTCTTTCGGTTGTCAATAAATAAAATATTTCCAGTGAAACTGTATTTTTTATTTCTATGTTGGGAGATATTGAGGAGGGACCTTATTTACTCAAATTCCAAAAACTCCTATATTTCGGGCAATTTGAAATTCTTTTACCATGACAATAATTAGTAATATAATAATAGATAACAGCTGTAGACATTACGTGTTGAAACTCCATGTCAACGTTAGAATCAAAGTCCATCAACGACCACAGGTAGCTCCCCAGGTTTTGACATAGCATCAGGTCTTTATTTTTGTTATTTTGATCTTCCTATAATCATCATCATCATAAGGTAGTCAGTCCTAAGATTGGTTGGATTCACATCTCCACTCTTTCCTATCCTGGGCATTTCCCTAAAGCTAGAGCAACCCACATCCTTAACTATTTGCGAACAGTAATCTAATCTAGGTCTACGTTTACCACTCCTAACTTCCGTTTCTGTCTAATATGTCTTTGACTAGACCTTCATGTCTAAGGTGTCACACTAACCTATCTCGCCTAATTATTATTGAATTCCATACAGTCCTTTGTTTACTTACTCTTTTCAATGCCTCTTTATTTTTAACATTCTCTATCCATCTCTATCTATTTTACTATTAATTACACAATGCTATTAAAATGTATAAATTGTTATACAATACTTTATACGAATTTGAAAAAAATTTTTTTTTACTTATTATACAGTACTTGGTAGTACATTTCGCCTATAATGTTATAAATATGGTATAATTTTATATATACCCTAGGGAATATATGTAAATGTGATCGTAATTGTTTTTTTGACTGACGCGTTTTTTATTATATTTGGTCTGACGAACCTGTAAGAAAAGAGCGAATATAAAGAGAGGAGACGAAAAATTAGAAAAAGTGACTGATTTTAGTTATTTAGGAAGTCAGAACTGAAAGAGTAGTAGGGATATAAAGCAGAGGATAGCGCAGGGTCGAGTCACCTTCAATAAAAAGAAGTCACTTCTATGTTCGCGAACGGTTAATTTAGAAATTCTAAAAAGATTGTTAAAGGTGTATGTTTGGAGCACAGCCCTCCTCGGCGGAAAATAAAAGATTAAAAGCGTTCGTAATGTGGTGTTATAGGCGAATGATGCGGATATCGTAGATAGATAAGGTTAGAAATGAAGAGATATTAGAAAGAATAGGAGAACAGAAAACTATGGAAGTCAATAAGAAATAGGCGAAATAGGTTGATAGGACACCTTCTCAGGCATGAAAGTCTAGTGACAGGCATATTAGAGACGGAAACAGGAGTTAAGAGGAGTAGAAACAGACCTGGATTAGATTACTGTTCACAAATAGTTAAGGATGTGGGATGTTCTTTGTTTTTAGGGAAATGCGAAGACTAGCTCAGGATAGGAAAGAATGGAGGTGCGTGGCCAACCAGTCTTAGGACTGACGACCTTATGATGATGATGAACCTGTAGATCAACTCGAGGAACTACCGGCGGTTTTGGTAAAAGTGGTTGACTGTGGTTGCATACATGCACCTTGTGTTTTCAATGTTTGCAATTATGTGGTATCCATTATGTTGTGGATATCACTGTGAAGTTAATTAAAAAAATAGCTTCATATGGTACACAGAAACATGTCTGTCGTAACTCTTCAAAAATTTGATTTCTCGTTCATATTTCGACTATTGGTTTTTGTACTTCCATAACTCATCTGTATATCACATTGCTGCTACTAATTGTCAGAAATTTTTAAAGGAATCGAATCTAAAACTATTAAACATCCTTCGTACTGTCCAAGATTAACGACGTTTGACTTTGAAGTATCTCTCTATGTTATACTTCGAATAAAAGGTCGACTATTCCATTTGATGAGAAATTATTGGCTGCTTTTGAAGATCAATGCAATCTTATACTAAAGCAAATTTGGGAGAAGTGATTTGATGAGTGTTTTAGTCGTATGAAGAGGTGTGAAATGATTTTCAGAAACTTTAATAAATAAGCTTATACGAAAATAATTAAGGGACAACCTATGTACCTATATTGTGGTGAAATTTGTTTTTTCTTGTTCTTTATTTAGCTCTGCAGCTTACAGAATAATTTTAAACATCGTATTTAGGGAAATTGACTTTATTACAATTATTTCATCATATTTACACCAATTGATTTGTACATCTTATTCACAAAACTCTGTTTCTTTATACGTATTCCTTACCAAATGGTTCTAACGGCAGCTGGTGCCCACGGAGCTGCACCCCAAGCAGCCCAAGGTGCGGTTCTTGCTTCAACAACGGCTGGTCCAGCGGGTAATACAGCTGGGGCTGGGGCAACAACTACTAAAAGAGAAATCGTAGAATAACCAACGGCAAACAATCTACTATTGCTGTTTTATGCGGTTCACGGAAGTTTAATACTCAAGTAAAAAAAAAGCTGTGCTATAATATTTCTTTGTTTTACAAAAAAATAAAACTTTATCGTAAAAATTAATAATTTTACGTGAAATAAATTGATTCGTGTGAATATTAAGGGCCAAATCAACTAAAATAAGAATAGGAAAGAATCCGTTTCTTACATGGAGCAGCAGCATAAGCGGCAGCTACACCTGGAGCAGCTCCAACGGCACCGGAATCTGAAGCAGCTGTAATTGTTCCTGATGGTCCAGAAACAGTGGCTCCAGCGGATGGTCCTTTAAGTCCAACACCTCCATACAACGGACCAGCGTATCCAAGAACTGAACACGATGCTGCTGCGATAGCAACGCAGAAAAATGAAATTATCTGAAAATCAAAAGAAAAAAATTCGTATCTAAACACTATTTACCAAAACTGGTAACCGAATTTTACGGAATAAAATAATTACCAATGAGTTCATGATGAATTATGTGTTTTGGTTGACGGCTTCAGACCAGTATGAAACTTATGGACCTCTGAAAAGCAATTTATAGTAAATCTATAGGGACACTATGCAACCTTCAATGAATTAATTTGAATTTTGACAATATTACGTTATTACATAAACCTACATCACACCCAACCTTTGTTTTTTTATTGTTGTTATCTTAATGTTAACATTTCGTTACTTAGAAAAACGTTTTGTCGTCGAAAACTAATACGGATCTCTTGGCGGCAGCGACATTGCCCTTGGCTATTGTTACGTAAAAACAGTAGGTATAGTTCAACGAATTAATTTTCTGATCTAATTAAAGAAACATAAATAAATAATTGATGGGCTAGCAAAAATAACCGTCTCCATTCTACCAGTATACTACATACAGTGATAAATGAATTTTTTCATTCTTTTTATCACAGTTTATTAATTGTTTTTTTTTTTTTGGAAAATCATAATTCTATGCGAAATAATTTACGATACATAGTTATTTATTAAATAGCAATTATTGAAGAAAATATTTATTTACTTGAAAAGTTTGTTGCTTTTACATACAATAACATACGTTTTTCAATAATAAATAATAAAATTATTGATTATTTGATTATTAGCAATAGTAAAATCCATCCGATGAAGAAACATTTTCGAAATCGATATCCACGGTATTTAAATAAGTTTGTAAAAAACGAATGAAAATATCTTGCAGTTCGATTCTGATAAATTTGTTTTAGTACTTCATGAATAACGTGTCGAACATGTAGGCAGTCGAACCTTGCAATTATTTTTGCGATAACTTTTAATGTGGTCACCTGATAAAAATTTATGTCCAATCCAGTTTTCAAGCTTCCTGCATAATTTGTTCAATTAAATTGTATATGAAGGTGTTAAAATAATTGTTCTAAAATGAGTTGAAAAGCAATAAAGGAAATTGATCATGACTAAAGATTTTAAAATCTATAATAAACCAGAATTGGAATTAAAATAATTATTGTAAATTATACGTCTTGTTTCAAAGAAGCAGCAGGAGCACTGCAATCAGTGAATGGCTACAACTTAAAACTAGTAAAAACGTTTTATTTTCGTCATCATAAGGTTGTCAGTCCTAAGACTGGTTGAACACGCACCTCCACTCTTTCCTATCCTGAGCTCATCTTCGCTTATCCCTAAAACTAAAACATCCCACATCCTTAACTATTTGCGAACAGTAATCTAATCTTGTTCTACCTCTACCCCTTGTAACTCCCGTTTCTACCTCTGGCTAATACGTCTCTGAATAGACCTTTATGACTGAGGTGTCCTACCAACCTATCTCGCCTATTTTTTATTGACTTCAATAGAACCCTCTGTTTTCCTACTCTTTCTAATACCCCTTGATTTCTAACCTTCTCTATCCACGATATCCTCATCATTCGCCTGTAACACCACATTTTAAACGCCTCTAACCTTTTCTTTTCTGCCGCGCCCACCGCTTATGTTTCGCACCCGTACAGCGCTACGCTCCAAACATACATCTTTAACAATATTTTATCCCATATTTAATAAAGCTTCTTATTTTGTTAATAAAGAAAAGAAGCCATTAGATTACCGCAACCCGACTAAAAAAAATTCTCAATTCAAAAAAAAATTTTTCTCTTTGCGACTCGTAACTATTTTTTTTTTTTTAAGTAAAAGGGTAAATTGTTTGTCATTTGCAATCCTTTGAGAGAAGCATCGATGAAACAAACAATTGTACGATACTGTTGTATCCCGCGACTACGTCGCGTTATTAAATTGGGCTGTACACGCTTACTTCCAAGCAAGTAAACCACTATGTAATTTTTGAAAACAAAGCTTATTTCTTATTACTTACACTTAACTTACTGTTTACTTAACGCCTAACTGAAAATAAGAAATGGAAAAGATGTAGAAAACTTAGATGTTACAAAAATAGAATTAGAATTGGAACGCCTGAAATCCTTTTTTTTCTTTATGATTTCGTGGAAGAGGGCAATCTTCAAAAGACACCCAGCCCTCCGTACGACTGGGTAGTGTCGAATTCCCGGGGAAAAAGTCCTCCGACGTACCGACTAAAACTCCTCTATCTCAAGCTGTTCTAGGACCAATTAAGGTTCTCTTCAGCCGGTGTGATTATGCTAGTGTTACGGTTTGAGTAGTTGAGGTGTATGTGTGTGTGTGTGTTTGTTGGGGAGGTTGTCTTAGTAGTCTACGAAATTGTCGTGAAGGTCTGGAGTGATTACCAATAGTTGTTGAAATAACTTGAAATCTGGTACCTGTCCCTTTTGTAGAGACGCTAGCGAAAGCGCCATATTGGTTGTTATATGGAATATTTGATGATAACCTAAAGAGATGTATGACTAAACGCTTATTTAAATAATAATTAACATGTGGAATATAACTATACAAATGACCCGGATTTTCTAAAATTCCACACAAAATTATGTAAATCGTGTTATGCTTTTTGAATAAATTCCTCCTGAAAATGTTTGTAAACAATACTTACCACGCCCGCGTGCAATTACAGCTATCATCTCCTAAAATAGAAGTTGCTTTTGTGAAGGACGCATTTTTTTTTGTTTGGAAATTTCATGTGAATTTCTATTGACAAAATGTTTCAATTCTAATAAATAGACCTACAAATAGGAAAACGATTAGAAAATATTTTATCAGATCTAAAAACAACTATTCTTAACAATTTTCTTTACGCGTTTATTGAATTACTGATTTTTTGTCATTTTTGGAGGTCTCATTCATTTCTTATCATATATATTCTAGAAAAATATACATTCTAATATTGTTAGAAATCGTTTGAGTAAAACAACAAAAAAATATCAACCGGTAACGATAAATATGAACTTTTGTAAATGGCTCAGGTCTATTTTTCGCTTTTATGCACTATTTCCTAATCGTATCGTTAATCGTAATTTTGATGTGTTTAATGGATAGGTGACCATTTCTTTACTGCAAGTCTCAAGGCCTTATTACCTACCAAAGAATGACAATCAAGAGCATGATCTCACTCGGGGTACTTTAACGTTAGGACACAGATGAATTTCGTCATTTTACGCAATTGCAGCAGGGTATATATCAACTTTCTTTGAAGGTTACTTGCTGGTTTCGTGAATATAAATTGGACCCGCTTAAAGTTGTCATCATTGTAGTGTTCAGTGGCTGAACAGACATTAAGACAAAAATTGATTCAAAATGAAAATGCTGGTAATTATGATTAATATTATTATTTTTATTTTTTCATCTGATGATAATAAATAATCTAATAGTTTATTAAACAAATATAAATAACGTTTCTTATATTCACTTATAGATAGTTGCTTTCTTCTGCTCCATGGTGTCTATTGCTGTTGATGGTGCACTTGTGAAGGGTGCAACTTTGTCAAGCACCGTTATAAGACCGGATGGAAGCGGCGTCTCTTCATCTGCTGATAGCGGTTCTGTAGGAGGTCCAGGTAATTTCCTAATAAGTTTAGCATTGAAAGTTCAAAAATGCATTCAATTATGATTTCTAATTCTTCTTTGCATCATATGATCATATCCAATCCTTAGTCAATTTTCATATTTCCTTAAAACTAGGAAATCCCGTATTTCTAACTTTTTGTGAAGAGTAATCTAATTTAAGTCTACCTCTACTCCTCTCAACTCCTATTCCTACTTTTAATAAAATTATCTTCCATGTCTTAGAAGGTGCTCTGTAATCCTATTTCTCATTTTCCTTGCTGACTTTTTCTAATATCTCCCCGTTCTCTTATCCGTGGCATTTTCATTATCCGCTTCACTTCATATCCTAAACACTTCTAACTTTTTCTTTTTCATTAAATTATATAGCTTTTTAATGATTTTACTCCATGATTACTATTGCTGTTGATGGTGCAGTTGTTAAGGGTTCAACTTTATCAAGCACCGTTATAAGACCTGATGGAAGCGGCGTCTCTTCATTTGCTGATAGCGGTTCTGTAGGAGTACCAGGTAATTTCCTAATAAGTTTAGCATTTAAAGTTCAAAAATGCATTTAATCATAATTTCTAATTCTTCTTTGCATCATATGATCATATCCCATCCTTAGTCAATTTTCGTATTTCCCTAAAACTAGGAAATCCCATATTTCTAACTTTTTGTGAAGAGTAATCTAATTTAGGTCTACCTCTACTCCTCTCAACTCCTATTCCTACTTTTAATAAAATTACCTTTCATGTCTTAGAAGGTGTTCCATATCCTAAACACTTCTAACTTTTTCTTTTTCATTAAATTATATAGCGTTTTAATGATAAAGTCTATCCAATATAAGAAGAATCAACAAATGAATGTATGTAAGATACTATTAAACAAAAAGAAATAGCAAATTCTGCGTTCCTCTAAATGGTAAATTAACTCCATAAGTAAAGCTTTAAAGTAGATAATTGCATGTTTTTAAATGTTATTGATGATCGTATTTCTATTGTTATAGGTATTGCACTGCACTGATATTAATATAGTGCGTTCAATAATAATATTTCGTTAACATTCATTTTTCATAGTTTTTCATGCCTTTCCAAGGGTGTTTAGGCTTCGTTTCTTATTTGTAATCGTTTTCATTTTTCGTCGTTTGCTAATAACTACATTGAGACTACATATATTGCAACTTCTTGCCACATCAGATCCTTCACGTTTCTTTGTGTTGTATTATAAAAATACGTTTCTCTCGTCCACCTTGCGTCACTTTTAAAGACAAATTAATGCGTTTAAAGGAACTTGACCGTGAATTCAAAAACAATGTCAGACCGGTTCAATCATCGGACAGTTGAAAACAAAAGTGACTTGCATCATGTCAGTGCACGAACTCAACATAATATTTATTAAAGTTATATGGGCAAATACACAGCGGCAAACACAGCGCAACCCATTATTACGACTTAATTTATTACAAAAATGTTTATTCGATACACATGAGATTTCTGTAATCCTGAAACAATTCTCAATTTACTATCGAAAGTAAATGTTTACTATCGCCTCCCAAGTAGCTATCTACACCTACCAAATAATGGCAATAGAGAATATTCTGTTTATTTGGTGTTTTGTCAAATACATGTAGATCGCATTGGAATAATAATAACTTTTGATTTCTATTCATGCAGTTGATCCTCTTCATCTTTATAATATAAAATTAAAAAGAACCTTGCTAAAAATTTGCATTCATTAACTACTCTATTATTTTTATTGTCATGTAGCTTCTCTATCATCGCACATAATTCCTGCTACTGCAGTTGCCCCACTTCCTCTTGCGTATGCAGCCCCAGCTGTATACGCTCATGCACCAGTTGTACCTGCCCCTGCTCCAGCACCCGTTGGAACGATTATTGAAGGACCATCTGGAAGGATAGCTGTCAGATCTAGCTGGTAAATGGGGCTCATTGAACTACCTCCATTGACTGTGTAGCTCATTTTTTTTTATTAATAAAAGTTTTCGTAAAAA